CACACACACACACACACACACACACACACACACACACACACACACACTCACACACACACACTCACATACAATATCCACATACACTTACACGCACATGTATGCACACATAATCCACAATACAGACACATGCACAGACACATACGTACATATACATACTCACACACATATACAGACAGACAAATACACACAGAGTTGATGATAACTGAAAAGGTTTTGCTTCTTATAATTACTCTTAATTTTCAAAATGTAAAAGTCATAATCCCTAAATTAAATACACATTATTTATATACACCCCATGTTTTATATAAAGTATTTGTGAAACCCAAACATGATATAGGGTACTAGAATAAGCTCTAGATTTTGTGTGTGGAAATGTTAGAAATCACTTAGCATTTATCTTTGTCTGACTTTTCTGAAAAATTAAAATATTAATATTGTTCTTTTCTCATTGTAAAATTGTCCTAAACAGCAACTGAAATAACAGATAAAAATAGAGCAATGTGCTTTATAGGTATGAGAAATGCCACTCCTCGGTTATTTGTGGGTGGACAGCTGGTTTGGAAACAGCTTGTGCCTGCACTGCCCCCCAAGGATGCAATGCACCAGCGCACAGACCCGTCCTTCAGCTTCTCCAGACTAGGATATTTCTCAGCATCTTTGGAGCTTTCTCTCTGGAAAATGTCATAACCTTGCCAATTCTGAGACATATAAGCATTTGGGAGACTAGTATTTATTGCTCAGATTACACTGCCCTCAGAGCATGTACTTCCGTTGCACTTCATTCAGTACAAAGTTAAACACAAAACAATCACCAGTTCAGTTCCTTTGCTTGGGCCTGAGAAAAACCCAGAAAGAATGGCATGGACAGGGCATTCCTGTGGCTGACCCTAAAGCTTCACCTGAGGCCATCTTCTCCTTGACTATTCCTCCCCATTTACTGTGCTCCTCCAGGAAACCCCCACATAACTTAAGTACACTGTGATCGTTGATCTTCACTGTTAACTCAGTGTACAATTGCCTTGGAGTGGGGAGGGCACACCTCTGTTTGCATCCGTGAGGTCAAACAGGATGAACAGAGATGGGAAAACTCATTTGGATTCAAGCAGAACCATCCAGTGTGCTAGAGTATCATCAGATTTACAGAAGCAAAAGGAGAAAGCTGTGGAGGACTCTGTTGGTTCTCTGTCTGCATCTTATCGTTATATCAGCGTGTAAGCACACAGGTAGCGCGTCTGTGCTGTGCCACACCTCCTGCCAGCTACCTGCTGCCATGCTTCCTGCACTAAGCTTCTGTACTTGTAAAACAGTCTCAAACAAAACATGCATATATATAT